CAAAATTTTATAATCAAATTATAAAATTTACCAAAAAAAATGCGCTAAAATTAAAAAAAGCAGCAAATTATGTACGAAAAAGCAGTTGAAAATACCAAAATATGTGGAGTCGAAAAAAGCTCGAAATATTTTTGCCACAATTTTCACTTCTTTTCTGCCAAAATATTCGTTTCCTCTTCAATACATTCGGCCAAAGCATGGCAAAAAAGGGAGCGAACAAAATGAGAAAAGAATGCCAATCAACGATGAGATGAACGGAATATTTTAGTCGCATAATGAATATATTTAATCATGGTAAATTCATCAATGTCATTTTTCACTCTTCGTCAATGAAGAAACACTGAGAGCGGAATTTTCGAACTTCGCACCGACATTGGCCATCATTTATCTCATTTTTAGTAGAAAATTTCAATGCACTGTATCATACGTTGGCATTGCCATAATTTCCCTAGATTGCACAGTGCAACACACTTTTTGCGTCTCTCCAAATCTTATTATTTTCTGATAGGGCACCTGAATACGAGTTCAAATCAATCTTAAAAACCATACTTCATGGTGCTTAATTTTTTTACGCCCAAATTAAGAAATTATGTCATTATTTGAGTTTTTCTCCATTATTATGGGTCATAACTCTAAAATTTCCAGATAAAGCCATAATATCGCAAATTTTTACCAAAAGTGGAAATCATTACGAGCATTTTGATACCCTATTCATCAAAATCGGTTAGGTAGTTCTCGAGATATAGCTCGAAACGTGTGCGCTACTAACAGAAAAAATGAAGATTTCGGGCTTCTTTTCGGCACATAGTCCACCAAAACTCCACAAAATCGCCATGCGTGTGCTAGTTTAGCACCTGATTACTGTAGCTGGCATCTGTACGAACAATTTGAGCGTTTGGTCATCAAAATCCATGGTCTGGTTCGCTTACGAGGGTTGCTGCATAAGTTTCTGGCCTAACCTATTTCTAGTGTTTTCAGATGCAATCTGACGATTCCATCGGAAATTTTGACATTTTTTAGGCTAAAAAACACTATAGCAGGGATTGTTTTACATTACTGGGTGTGTCTAAGCCTCCTTTCCAAGGGATACCTGGAAAAATCGTAAATTTCAACAATAAACTTCATTTTTCGATATGAGAAAAATTGATTATTCTGTTGTTAACCACCTAAAAAACTTCGTTTATCCTCAATTTAATAATTTCTGGCTAACGAAACCATTATTTTATATTTTGGGCCTGCAAATATTCGATTGAATGAAGGCATGTCAAAAGGTGAAAATTCATGAAGTGACAGATAGTTCCCAGTTTTTGGACCATTTTCTGAATATTTTCATTCCAAAAATGTCCGCTTTATTCAGAATTCATGGCACTACAATTCCAAAGTATAATAACAGTCATGTAAATCATTTTTTCCCAGAACGAAGCATTGCAATTTGCGAAAATCGTCTGTTTTTTCAGAAATAAGGAAAATTTTCTGTTATTTTCAAACACGATACTATCACTAAAACCTTCTGGGATGACATGCTATACTCATAAATGATAATTTTGTAATCTCTAGTGACGATTGAGGGTTTTTCAGCCTATCAAAATTGCATTATTGAGAGTTTGTAGGCCTATTTTTGTCCAAAACTCTTTTTTTTGGTTGAAAACATATTTGGAGGTTTTGACATGTGAAAGGCATTTACGTCACTAAAACCACATGTAATATTGACCTCATGCATGTCATACTAATGCCAAAGGATGCCCCAATCTCACTATAAGTCGTATGAGAATATTCCACCTTTAGGTTTCGCACAGCATCAATGTGTTCCGGCGTTACAGCTGATATTTTACGACTTTCCTGCGGACTCATTTTTGAGTGAGCTTCGTCAACATTTAAAATCGTTATATCACCTCTAAATACTTGGAATGGACCGAGTTTTATCACCCAAAGCGAATTTGAGGCTATCACGGCACTCTTGTTGAGTTAGTCCCTCTCAAAAATCGGAATAAAACATTGCACTAAAATGTTTGCGGAAAAATTCAATTTTTTCATCAAATTGAAATATTCAAGCTCATAAAACACCACGATCCGTAGTGAATCAACAGTTGACGTCTGAGGAAACTTAGCTTAAAAAAGGTCAAACTTTTTGACTGACCCAAAGTTTTGCTTCAGAAAACACTAGAACTAGGTTAGGCCAGAAACTTAAGCAGCAACCTACGTACAATCCGTGTTTGAGTGAAGTGGTAAAGTCGCAAGTTCAAGGATTTTTCCAAAGATGAAAGTGGCCAAAACCACACAACTGTTAATGCGATCGTCATGAAACTTCGCAATTCTTATTTTTTCATCAAAATATCGAATCGTGGCTGATTTGGAATCAATCGGATGCATAATAAGGATGCCTCCCGGACAAAATGATCGATATTTGTTCGAAAATCGATATTTGTTGCACTGTGTTATTTTCATGTGTTCGTTTCTAGGCCGCCACCATTTCAATTAAATTAAACTGCAGTGAAGCAAAAATGAAGTGCTATCAAAACTGTCTTCTATTTTCTCACTTCGAGATACGTGTATGGTGGTTGTGCAGCATATACACCTGTCTCATTTGGTTAGAGTGGATAGCTCACATCATGAATTGACTAAGCATGTGTTCGTTTTTCAGTTCTTTATTTTTGAACGAATAACCTGACAATGTTCGATTTCATGTTTCCGCTGTGTCGATACACAAGAGATTGTTTATGTAGTTCCGCAGAAACGTCTTCAAATTCGACGATATGAAACAAAAATGTGAAAACAATCCAAGCAGCCCTACGCGCGACAGTTTGATTTGATGCATAAATCTTCCTGTTTGGTGAATACGAGCAACAGAAAGCGCGGTGAATACGCGCGGGGACGAGAAAAACGTAGAGAAAATGAAAGCGACCGAAAGGGAGCAGAAGCGAGTGAATAAGAACGAAAATGAGAATGACAATGGGAAATTGCAATTCTTTTTTTTTGTATTGATACTCAATGACAGCGATGCAATCACAGTGAGAGTATGGCGACATAGAAAAAAAGCAAACCGTACGCGAAGTTCGATACAAGAGATTGAAAGGTGGTGTATGAGTGAGCAAAGGAGAGAAAGAGAGAAAAGAACATTCTTCGAAACAATTCGTTGTTGACATTGACACAGAAATAGCAGTGCATAACACCCGACTGCACGTCGGATCGTCACATGGAACACCATTGCTTTATTGTTTAACGTATATGAACGTCAATGCCTTTCCGGTTCGTTGGCTGTCGACAAACATTGAAATATTCAGAGAGAAACAGAGAGGGAGAAATGAAAACAAATACCATACGCATAAGATGATTTTTTCCATCCAATAGAAAAGTATATATATATATATATATATATATATCCAGTTAATTATGGTGATAGTTGTGTTTTAAAATGGACTTCTCATTCAATTAGGATTATCGAAATGTTTTCTCTTTCGATGGTGCTTTGTGAGTACGTGTTTCACTGAAATCACCAACTGAAGAACAAATTTCCCCTTGTCGAATCACATTGATGCACGCGTCAACAAAATGATCTTCCTTTTCCGCGTTTTTAATTCAATATGAAAACAAAGTCATAGAAATGCACTAAATACCAGTTCGTTAGTGAGTGTGTTTTAAAATATATAAACAAATAGAAATTGAATGAGTTTTTCCTTTGATCGAAACAGACCATTTTAGCGAAACGTCAATGTACACAGCCGTTGTATTGATTCAGTACAAACCAATCGACTCAGAACGATAGCAACGAAGCATCGTTCGTACACTGAAAGATGCTTTAATGTTACTGAGCCTATTCAAATATTGCAAAGTGCACAACAAAATTGTGGCAGAAAACCGATAAAAATCACACTGCCAATTCATGTTTTATTAATGGCGATGGCATCAAATTGACATCAAAAATATATAGACACAATTTTGACTGTTTGTGTTGCGAAGGACACAAGGATATCTTTCTTTAAAAAAAGAGGGATGAAAGAATCACAAAAAAAGCGACAAACATCATGGAAATGATGTGGAAACCAAGACATTCTGACGAAAATCCTGACATTTCCAAGAATTTTCCATAGATTTTTTTTCCCCTTTTTCTCTTCAGTTTGCATTTCAACGAGCTTCGTTTTCTGCGCGGAAATAATATTTTATGGCTAGCGGTTGCCCGTTTGCGACTATGCTGTGCTCTACTCTATAACAAAACCAAGCAATTTAAACTGTTTACACCATTTAAAAAGTTTAAATATACAAGGTCACATTTTAGCACGAGCGCATAGTAACGACACAACTAGTTCACGATGCTTTTAATTTTTATGTTTTAAGAATAAAAATAAATGTTACTTTCGCTGAATGGAGAGTGAAGATGCTCGATGGAAGAACAAATGGTAATGGCGAAAATCTGGGTGAAACTGAAAATTTGCCATTTTCTCTGCGGCATGATTGCATTCATCGGGTATACGTTCGTCGTTTATAAGCAATGTTGAGGTAGAGGTGGGTGTAATTTTCGTTTCAGGGTAAATCGATATTTTTTTTATTGTCTACAATTTATTTGGGATGTAATTGTTTGGAAGCAATCTCAATCGTGCTTCGCGATCGAAACGAAAACAGTTTGAGAAATGAGAGTTTCAAATTTATATGGAAGCAAAATACAAGGCCATCTGTGTACCTGAGGTCTGAGTTGTATGGTTCCACGTTTTGTGTCTCGTGTTTATTTGCGAATCGTTGTGAAAAAACTAAAGGGTCGATTCAATTTCGATAAACTACAGTTGTTCCGGTGTGTCTCTTTTTCATGCCCGTTGCATATCCATTTCAATTCAAGCAAGAGCGGTACAAATCGGGAGTGCTCACGACAGTTATAATGTCTTCTGCTCGGAAGATATTCTACGAACAAACTTAATGATAATAACGTATTTAAAATAAATATTTGATATTTAGACTAAATATGCTTTTTTAGTAATGTTTTCCTCTCTTTTTCTGTGTTTTTTTTTCAGATGTGAAAATGGTAATGGAACTACATTTCTGAGCGCACACACTACGGTGCATTTATTTTTATTGTTATGTGGAAAAGTGGTTTACAGCTATTAATTATAAATTAATGCGATCGTGTCGGTAGTTTTTTTTATTTATACTTAGGTGATATAAGTAAGAAAAAAGAGAGAGAAAAAACCATTTGGTAGTAATTCCAAGAAATTAAATGGTGAATACGGAAATAAGCGCTCTGAGAAATTGTCCGAAATAAGTTGTAAACGAAGGTGAAACGAAAAGAAAAGCGAAAATTATTTACTTATGAAGAGGCTGATTTTTGTGTTCTGTGTCTGTCGTTAGTGAATTCTCCGAAGAACAAACAAGTCGGAAAAGCGTGAGAAAAAAGTACGTGGTAACAAAATATCATTCGGAATTAGAATCGGCTTTGTCAAACCGGAATTAAATAAAAGTGAGTGAAAAAGCTGAGTGAGAGCTTAACGTCAATTTTCGGGTCGTTTGGTAACGAAGTGTTGTGATTTAATGGGCCAATCGATGCAGTAGACACACCATTTACCATTTGAGAAAGTCAGCGAATTTAATTGTGTGCAGAAAGTGAAACAATCAAGAACTGAAAAAAGACACTGCGGCAAAGCAAAAAAAAACAAAAACACCCTCAAATAGACAAAAACGAGCACAATCGACAGAAAAGAAAAGCCAAGTATACACAGTAACAACCACATTCAACGGTTATTTTTTTTCCTGACTAATAGGCAGTTTGAAAATCGGGCTTGCCGAGAAAGTGATACGTGAATTTGAGTAAAGAAATGAAAAGAAATAAAGTGGTAGCACAATTTACTTTATTTGCATACTTTATACACATTTAAGCCGAAAGATTGTTCGATAAAAATCTCACTCTTACGCGCGGCTCACAACCTCATTTCGAGATTTGCGCTGGAAGCTATGGAAGCAAACACAAATACTTGAATCAATGGACGATAAGCATCAATCGTAAGAAAGAAAAAAAGAAAGTAGTTGTCGAAAAAGTTTCTTTTTTCTCTTGGGAAAATTGTTCGGAATATAAAACCGAATTGAAAGCTTCGTACACTCGACAGAGACACGTGAATCCGGTCCAGTGAAAACGATTGTAATCAACCGTGTAACACGTCGAACGCGGATTAACAAACAACATAGCGGCCAAATAGAAATAATCCGGATTTTCCAAGAATCACGAACAACAACAGCCATTACAATGGGTTTACCATCAATAATACCGAGCAATGGAAGCTTTTTGCCGTCACCAACCGGTGGCCAACATCTCAACGAATGCAGCGAAGATGAGCCCGACTGCGATAGATACAAACCATATGATGAACGGCCCGAAACTTACATTGTTCCTTTTATTTTTAGCATAATTTTTGTGGTGGGCGTCGTTGGCAATGGGACGCTAATTGTTATTTTTTTACGACATCGTGCGATGCGAAACATACCAAACACGTAAGTAAAATGCAATCATCTACTAACTCTCTTTTTTCTGACCGAATGAGTTTTTTTGCGATCCATTGGTTTTTTTTTCATTGTTCTGTTTCATTTTCATGAAGTGCTTTGATGCACGCAAACCCAGACGTAGATATAGAAAGGCGCCAATTTTTACGTTTTTACGTTTTTTTGATACACACTCTTAGCTTTTGGTTCATATTTTTTGTATTTTCTCCTTTTTTCAGTCTTTTTTTCGGTTCTTGTTTCTCTTTTTTTTAAATTTTCCTCACCATTTTCATTATTTTTCATTTGCTGTTGTTCTTGTTTTAGTCTATCTCAATTTCGTTGCTAGTTTTAGTTATTTTGGATTGTGTTTAGCCGATTCCTTTTCTCCAGTGAATAAAATTTTGTTTGTTTTTTTCTTTCTCCATTTCTGGCATCGAAATATGATATTATGATTTCCATATGTGCCTAAAGTGCTAGAATGTTTTTGATGGAGTAATTTGCTTTGGAACACTAAGCCATTGCGAGTTCTGAATACGCTGGGAAAAAACAGTGCTCTAGTGAGTGTGTATCGCATGTGATGATGTGCTTAAACATATGTATATATATACATAGAATGTCGAGTGCTACCACTCGTGTTTGTGTTTTTGTTGAAATGCAATTTAACTCCGGTTTTTGCTTCGACTCGTTTCCAACGCGCCCGAAAATTAATGCAATGTTAATAATGTGAAAAAAGTGTGTTTGTTTTTTTATATTTTCGTCGGAATAAAGCGATCGAATGAATCAAAGAGCGTTTATTCTGTTTGCATTGGATGTTCTGAATGCCATTAGATTAAAACCTTTGTGTGTCGTTGCATTGAAGTGCTCAATATTTGAATAAAAACGGTTGATACATGACTCGAACATTGTCCGTGGGAAATAGCACAACACATACACACATGATTCGGTTTACGCCCGTGAGGTCGACACACATAAAACATGCAAATATATTAAACAACATAAAATACTTGAGGCAGTTGTTTATTGTTCCAATGAAGAAGGAAAATAATTTGATGAGAGCAGTAATTGTCGATTTTACTAATTTTATTGCCACCAATTTATTGGTCGTGGTGTATTTGCGAATTGTTTCGGTCGCAGCAGTTTTTGGTGAACACAAAACCAGTCTTCCGGCAATAAAGTATAATTTTTCGCCAAACTTTATGAACTAACTAAGTGCTTCGGATCGAATGCAAAATGTTACGAAAAATGAGTGAACATTTAGTAGCTAAGCACACACATATGTAACATAGTAGTGCGTGCTGAAATGTCTACACCAGAGTCGAATAATTTATATTCGTTCAAACGACTTTCGTCCGCGACATGTACAATTTACGGGGTGATATAAAAAGCAACACTCGAGACATTTCGACGAATAAATATTTCTTTACTTTTGCTTTTTTTCGTTTGTTCTCTTTCTCTCTCTCTCCCCCTCTCGGTTTTTTTCCTCGTCTTCGTTCCTCGTTTTGCCACATGTCTTCCGACGCATGTTTTGTTTCACTGTGCTTCTAAATTGCGTGTGGCAATCCACCAAGCAGCACAATCAGCCATTCAAACCGATATAATAGGAAATAAATTGAAATCAATCGAAAGAAGAGTTTGAAGAAGGCTTATAAACCAAATAATAAATGAAGCAGACTTAATACGGGAAAGTGGATTCTTTTCTTCGTATATTTTCATTCACACTTTTTGTTTTCCGTATGATTACGAATTAGAGTTAGAGTGTGATAAAAAGAGTCGTGATAACGAATTCGTCTGCTGCGTTAATAAAAGAGAAAAGATCAAGAAAATGGATTGCTGTTGAATGTTCATAATCACAATATACATTCGATTCGGTTGATATTCGCTTTCGCAACACAGAATTCGTCCAACAGAACATACTGTTTGCTCAAGGCGTCGGAGCGAGGCAAGCACAGAGCTGTGCAAACACACTTTGAAGCAGGTTGCGTAATAAGTACTTTTTATTCGCATCGAATTCATAAATGGCATGACATGGCATGGCATTTCTTCGTGGAATAAACTTTGTTTCTCCTTCCGTAATCTGGTAACCACACAAAATGAAGAGAACGGAAATTCCGAAACGTCAAAACGCCGAGAAAAAAAATCTCGAAAAAAAATCCGAATCCAAAATACCGAAAACCAAAAACGCAGAAAAATAAGTTCAAAGTCCCATTCCATAGAACCGGAGGGTAATACTATTGCTCGAAAATACTATTCATTTGTCCCCTATATCGCCAATAACTTGCAAATGATGCACAAATATACATACACACAAAAATAAAATGTGGTAGGTTTGTGCTATCTATTGGTGACGAGTATAATTACCACAAGTCTTTGAAAAGTTACCCCACGCACCAAACTATTACTATGCACAGCACAAATGCATTTTTTGGTTGGAAAATTCTCAGAAAAGCGCTACTGTGGGAAATTGGGAAATCGGGGAAAGTTCAGACCAGTCTTAATCGATCAGGCAGAAAATTTCATGTGGCGTACCTAAGGGCGATTTTCAAGCGAAAAAACAATCCATTTCTGAGATGAATGAAAAAATTCGGAAATATCGGCAAGTTTAATTTCTGTGTGTATCTGTTGTTGTACTGAACCGCTAGGTGCACTGATAGTTTATCAGGGCGGCGACTCCGTAGATGGCTTATTAGTAGTTTTTTCTGATAGCTAGGTGGAGAGGATAGAGTATTAGTATTTTCTGATAGCTATTAAATCGTAATGTATACGTTACTATCGCCCACTGCACAGAACATAATTGATAATTTTTGACCTACCCTTGTTGATCGTACCATTTTTATCACAGTCCGAAATAAAATAAAATAAAATTGAGAATGCCAACAGAGGTGCAGAGGATAGCGCAGAACGACCGCGTGAGAGTGAAGGTCCTCTGCTCTATCCTCTCCACCTAGCTAACAGAAAATACTACTAATAAGCCATCTACGGAGTCACCGCCCTGATAAACTATCAGTGCATCTAGCGCTTCAGTACAACAACAAATGAATGGTTTGGAGCGAAAATGTAATACAGAAAAGTTGAGTGGAAAAATGTCGATGATGAATGAGCGGAAAAGGGATAGCTATATAGTAAACTGTATAGTAAACTATAGTGAACTATATAGCTATCCCTTTTCATTTGACATTTTTCCGCTCAACTTTTCTCTATTACATTTTCGCTCCAAACCATTCAAATATGTACATTTGTGCATCATTTGCAAGATATTGGCCATATAGGTGACGAATGAATAGTATTTTCGAGCAAAAGTATTACCCTCCGGTTCTATGGAATGGGACTTTGAACTAATTTTTCTGCGTTTTTGGTTTTCGATATTTTGGATTCGGCATTTTGGTTTTCGAGATATTTTTCGGATTTTTTTTTTCGAGATTTTTTTCGGCGTTTTGACGTTTCGGAATTTTTGTTTTCTTCATTTTGTTGGGTAACCCGTAATCTATATATATAAAAGAGAATGTGTGTCTGTCTAAAACAACTTGGACGCCAAACGCGTGGTCCGATCTGGACATGACGCACATCATTGGAAAGGTCTTGAGCCGGCGGGTGACATAGACACCATCATGGTTCATCACGGTCCATCGTGGTCGAGTTAACACGAACTAACACCATTTTTGTATATGAATAGTCAATATGGGTATCATATGTTTGAAATGAAAAAGAAAATGAAAAAAGGCCATCATGGTCGGTCATCGTGTTATAACACCATCAAACACTTATTATAATACTATAGTATGAGAAAACCATGTTAAAAAAAAGTAAAAAATTTCCTTTATCATCATAGTATTCGTTTTACTGCTCTATGATTTTGTTGTCAATTCGATTTCATTTGTCAACTTATTTGACGTTGTCAACGTTGTTGTCACTTTAACTTAATTTTTTAATTTATTCTGCGTGAAATAATTGAAAATGCTTTCAAAAAAAATTATATATTGGAAAAAAAAACCTAGGGGCTAACCATGGATTTGTTATTGACAAAATCTGTTTTTACCGCCCAATTTTAATGACATCCGTAAAAAATTGAAAAAATCTGTATATATTGAATTTTATCGTTTAATATCGACTATAACCGTTTAATGTGCTGACGTCATTACCGATTCAAAAATGCTGGAAGTGGGTTTTGGTGGACCCTCAGGATCGTTTAGTACTGCTCCCGGTTCTGGAAGTGGATCCTCAGGATGGGCCAGGGCATTGTCAAACCCAGTCTGGTCCATCCTGAAGATCCACCAAAATCCACTTCCAGAATCGGGAGCAGTTCTGAACGATCCTGAGGATGCACCAAAACCCGCTTCTAGAACAGTATGCATTCGTTAAAGTATAGAAGTAAAAAATTGTAATGCCTATTACCTATTACTATTACTATTACTTTTGTAATAGGATCACCTATTACTATTACTTTCCTATTACTTTTGTAAAAAAAATTACCTATTACTTTTATTATTACTATTACTTTTCCTATTACATGTAATAGTAATAGTAATAGTAATAGGTTCATCCTATTATAAAAGTAATAGGAAATGTAATAGGATAAATGTAATAGCCTGTAATAGTAATAGTAATGCCTATTAAAGGGTGTCCCAATGGCAACGCAAAAAAGTATTTATAAAAAAAACAATGTAAAAATCTTTATTGTATGTTGTAGTTTGGTCTTTACCATTTATGTATGAAAAAGAATATCGTGCAAATGTCCACCACGGCTCTTTTCACAGACCTTCAGCCGCTTGCCCAAATTTTCAATCACAGATTCGAGTAATGGCACATTTACGGTGGCTATGACACGTCTGATTTCAATTTTCAGCTCGGCAATGGTGCTTGGTTTGTTAGCATCATTTTGTTTACGTTTTGGTTTTGCTGCAATTTGGCCTTCCTGGTTTTGTTCGATTGGATATTTTAGTGGATTTAGATAATTTGTCGTGTATTTCAAACCCATCGAATG